CTAGCAGGGCGGCTCTCAGGGGGCAAGGGCCATCCACAGGACCCTGGTCACTCTGTGAGGTCACCTCTTGGCCAAGGCTGTGCTGAGCTCTACACACACATGCACACACAGAGCCTGGGCTTCCCTCGGAACCTACCCACAGCCGGCACAGCAGGTGACCTGTGAACCCCCCTGGAGCACATGACCCTGGGTGACCCAGGTCATGCTGAGCAGTGTGTCCTCTGCCCTCGTCTACAAGCTGATGGGCTCACCTTGCAATCTCACTGTGACTGCACTCTGGATTTGGAGTGGGTCATTTTTGCATTACAGGACATCTTTGGCCTTTGTAGGCCCAGAAGCCATGAAGCTCTCTTTGTGAGTTTATGCCCCATAGCCAGGAAGATTTCCTTCCCAGAGTCCTCCTGAGGCCTGCAGGGGACAATGTCATCATACCATTGTAAGAGGCGGGAGAGCCGTGTAGGCTCTGGGCTGGACACCAGAGAAATACACCCCTGGATTTGAGCTCCAGTTCTCCTGCTCCCCAGAGCTGAGTCCTAGGCCATGTTTCCTAACACTGGGCACCTCTGTGTTGTCCGTCCACTCTAAAGCAGGAATAAGAAGTTCTCTGCAAGGGTCACTGAACACTAAGACTGGGGCCTTGGCCCTGGGACTTGCTTAGGAAGTCCTTGCTCCAGGACCGTGGGGAGGGCCACCCGTGCCTTCCGCCTGAGCTTGTCTCCTGGACACTCATGACTGGGGTAGTGGGATTCAGGATCTGTGCACAGGTTTGTTCAGCACCACCCTTGCTGTTGGACTGGGGGGTCCACAGGGCAGAGAGGACCCGGGTCACCCTCCTGGCTCACCATTTTGTTCCCAAAGCATGGTAGATGATGGGCCCTCAGTAATCATTTGTTAAGTGGTGGGAGAAATATAACCACAACCTTGGCTTCATTGTGCAGAGCCTTTGGCCTCTGATGGAAACATAAAAAACAGAAACCATTATTCTTGACTCACAGGGCAGGCCAGGATGGAGAGTCCAGCTCCCACAGAGGACTACGGCCTGACCACCGAATACGACTATGGTGACTCAACCCCATGCCATAAGGATGCCGTGAGGGCCTTCGGGTCCCAGCTGCTGCCACCCTTGTACTCCCTGGTATTCATCATCGGCGTGGTGGGCAACATCCTGGTGGTCCTGGTCCTCATGAAGTACAAGCGGCTCAGAAGCATGACCAGCATCTACCTGCTCAACCTGGCCCTCTCAGACCTGCTCTTCCTCTTCACACTTCCCTTCTGGATTGACTACAAGGTCAGAGACACCTGGATCTTCGGTGATGGCATGTGTAAGCTCCTGTCCGGCCTCTACTACATGGGCTTGTATGGTGAGATCTTCTTCATCATCCTGCTCACCATTGACAGGTACCTGGCCATCGTCCATGCCATGTTCGCAATTCAAGCCCGGACTGTCACCTTCGGCATCATCACCAGTGTCATCACCTGGGCCCTGGCCATCTTGGCTTCCATCCCAGGCTTGTACTTTCCCAAGACCCAGTGGGAGGTCACTCACCACACCTGCAGCTTTTACTACCCCCACAAAAGCATGAAGGCCTGGCAGCGCTTTCAGGCTCTGAAGCTGAATGTGCTGGGGCTCATTTTGCCGCTGTTGGTCATGGTGTTCTGCTACACGGGTATCATCAATGTTCTGCTCCAAAAGCCCAACGAAAAGAAGGCCAAAGCCGTCCGTCTGATCTTTGTCATCATGATCGTCTTCTTCCTCTTCTGGACCCCGTACAACCTGGCTGTGTTTGTTTCTGCTTTCCAGGAGCACATGTTCACCAGAGAATGCGAGCAGAGCAGAGAGCTGGACATGGCCCTGCAGGTGACAGAGGTGATCGCCTACACCCACTGCTGTGTCAACCCCATCATCTATGTCTTCGTGGGTGAGAGGTTCCGGAAGTACCTGCGCCAGCTGTTCCAGAGGCATGGGACCATGCAGCTGGCCAAATGTCTGCCCTTCCTCGCTGGAGATCGGCTGGAGAGGGCCAGCTCTGTGACTCCGTCCACCAGTGAGCACGAGCTGTCTGGCGTGTTCTGACTCAGAACCCTGCAGGCCTCTGTGGGTTCCAGTGGGAGTGGCCTGACAGGGAGGCTGCCAGGGCAAGGAGAAGATGCAATGGAGCCATCCCCACCAGATTCCCTCACCCCGCACAGTGTGGAAACTTAGCCTCTGAGACAGAGGACACTGGAAGTTGGTCCCACTCAGCCACCTAGGCCTTCAATTCTGCCATGACTCTCCTTGGCAGAGAGGGACAAATTGGTGACATGGGACATTCCAGCCTGACACTGTGGGCCCCAGGGAATGGCCTGGGTCCAACCAGGATGCCCAGGCTGCAAACGCTGGCATTGGAAAAACCCTGTTGCAGCAGCCCCGATGAACGTGGAAATGGTGATTTCAGGGTGACACCCCACTGAGTCCTAGAGCCAGCACGTGACCCATAGCTGCCTCCCCCACCCACCCCATCTTCTGGAAACTCGGAACATAGAACTCAGGGTGGCCAGCCTGACTCCAGCCAGGAAATGGGACCGGGGACATGCTGTTGGCAGTGAAAAGGTAGAAAGGGAGCCAGGGAGACCCCTGCCTGGCAGGTGGGTGGAGAGCACTCTGTCCTGAAGCAGAGGAGGAGACGCCCTGAGCAGGAGGTAGCTCATTCACCCAAGCTGTCCTTCATGCCTCAGCCCCTACCAAGGACCCTGTTCACCATTCTTTGTCTCCCCACTCAGATGTATAGTTCTTTAAAAATCGTGTTCCTACTAACTAAAATTGTTTCTAGAAAAGCCCAAAGACAACAAGAAGAAAGAAAACAACATTGAAGCCATCCGTAATCTCACTACCCAGATAATCACTGTGCATTTTAGATGTGGTTTTTTTTTTTTGTTTTGTTTTGTTTTTGGTTTTTCTCCGGTACCGGGAACCGAACTCACTAGATGTGTTTTTATACATTGTCCGTTCCGTGTGCATTTGGATTGGTACTGAGCTGCCTTTGCTGGTGCTCATGGTTCTGGTGCTCTATTTAATGAGCAATATTTTGTGGTCCCTTTCGTTGGTGAATAAATTATTTCAAAATCACTGTTTTTGGTGTGCATGCAATTCTATGGTGGAAATGTTCCCTAATTTGCTCTCCCTAGAACCCCATTATTGCTGGAAAGTTGATCCCCATTTCCTCAGATCAAGTTTTCCACAATGGCAGGCGCAGGCTGCTCCATGCACAGTGAGCTCTTAGAGTGCTGGAGACCCAGGGAGTATAGTCCCCAGCTCCACAGGTGGACACGTGCAGGGATCCAACAGTGTGACCAGAGGGATGGTACCAGGACAGCAGCCCAACCAACAGGTACCCCACCTTATGACAAGGACACACAGGCCACCTGCTCTCCTCCTGCACTGGAGCTGTACCCTCATCATGCCACCCTGTTCCTTGGGTGGGACTGATGGTGTCCACTCATTATTCCTGTGCAAAGAAGTTGGTGTCATGGACCAAGATGTACACTGCACCACCCCAGAGTTATGTCTCTACAGGGAAAATGCAGAGAAAGCACAGCGCTGAATGGTGGGTGCTGGCTCGCCACCCGGGAACACACCAGCCCTCTCCCTAGAGTGGAAAGAAGGCTGAACTGAATCAGGAAGCCTTGTCCACCACTTTAGTAAAATCATATTAAAAAGTGATATCAGCTCCATAATGATTTCCTGTGCTCCAGTTTCCTTTTTGAAGTAGACCTTACTTTCCCCCTTACTGCAAAGGCAATTTGTGTCTAATGTGGAAAACTTGAAAGATCAACAAAAAAAAACCCAAGAAGAAAATGATGGTCCTGAAATCCCAGTACCCCAATTCAACCTAAAAGTGGGAGTCCTGTGACACTTTCCTTTCCAGGAATGTTTTCTAGGTGCATGCGCACGCGCACACACACACGTGCATACAGTCACACTTAGCAGTTCTCAGCATGGCAGTTGCCAGGTTTGACGCACAGCAAGACCTACTTAGGTGCTGCTCGAATGAATGACTCCTGTGTCCTCATCTGTGAGGTGAGGATGAGCAGACTAGCACCCGCCTCCTGCGGGGCTCAGGATTAAATGGAACAAGCCAAGGAAGTGGGCAGGCTTTCTCCAGCTTTTTCTGACAGCCATCTGCCTCCCCTGCCAGTGCCTTCTGCATTCAGTGGGACACCCCGCTCTCCCTCTCTCCCTGCCCCCTCCTCCCGGGATCCCGGCTCCTGGGCCCCAGCCCCAGCCTCACTGATATGGTTGCTCCCAAGTTGCCTTCCCGCTTCATCCTTGCAGGTAGACTGTGCCGGGATTCCACAGAGAATTCCAAAGCTTTCCAGCATCAACATTCTTCCACATGGGCCTTTGATTCATCATTCTTCCAGAGATAAAAACCGGGTGGGGGGGCAGAGAAAGAGAAAGAAAGGAAGGATGGATCAATGGATGGATGGATGGATGGATGGAGAGAGGTAATTAGGTGAATAGAAGAGGAAGAAGGGAAGGAGAAAAATGGAAGGATGGATGGAAAGATAGATGAATGGGTGGGCATATGGACAGATAAATCGATAAATAGATTCTAGATATAGTTATGGTAGACTTGAAAGCAAGTTGCAAGCATGATGCCCTGCCGCGTGTCACATCTGGGCCTTCAGAATGCTTCACCAGCCCCAGAATATTCTCCCACGCTCCCAGACGGGCACTTGATGCAACATCGCCAGACAATACACAGCCCTTCCCAACGTTCCTCTCTTTCCACACGACACCCTTTTCAACCCTTGGATCTAGAATCACATTTACCTTTGTTCTCTTTCAAGCCAGAGCAGTTCCTCCAGCTTGTGTTTATGAGATTTACATCTACGAATGATACTGTCACCTGGCAGACAGTTCCTCAATCTAGGTTCACTCATGTTTCCTGGTGATTAGATTCAGATTACACAACCTGGGCCAGTTTGCTTTACACTGAATAACTTCCTTCAATAAGTCTAGAGCATGACTCAGTTGTCAAAGAATATGGTAACTTCATTTAATTTGCAATGAACTTCACTTAGCCTCATTGTTGAAGGGCTTTGTCTTGGCAGGTCATCGTGCATTGATAGTATTTGCTTTAGCTCTCTGAAGATGACTTTCTGTTCCCATCCAGACACCGTGCTCTCAGAGGGCATTTAGCAAGTTGTGCCATTGTTACCCCAGTAGGAAACATGTCTTTTTTCCTCTGCCTACTTTTCATATTGTCCTTAACCTTTATATTTAACATTTTTGGCTTTATTTATGTTTATCCTCCTAGGAGCTATTGGATTAAAATGGAATTTTAAATTGCTTTTTCCCTAATTTGGGAAATTTGGGCCAAGTAGCTCTTCAAAGTCTTTTTTTCCTGACAAATTCTCTCTTCATGTTCAGAGATTCCAGTTGTACCTTTGTTAAATTGATATTATTTCAGACCTCCTTTTTAAATAACTTTTCCTTTTTGTTCTTAAGCTCAGATACCTTCCAGTAATTAGCATTCAAATCTGCCAGCCTTAGTCCCAGCACCCCTCATGTACTGTCAGGATCAGATCATCAGTGAATTACTGTGCATGCTGAACTGATCCTATCTAGACTTTCCCTTTGTCTCTTTCATGTGGTTTCCATCTCACCACTGACATTTCACATCTGTTCACCCCTCACAATCATTTATTCCTTTAAATTCTTGATCCTCATAGTTGATTTAAAGTCCTTGACTGATAATTCTAACTTCCCAGTCATCCGGGGTCCCTCTTGACTTTTTTAAAAAAGCTTAGAGCCAAATTTTCCTTCATCTTCACCTCAGTTGCTTGTCACACCTGCAGAGCTGTGACTGATAAATTTCAGGAAGCCTGTTTTATTATCTGCCTGAGGAAAGTATGAGTGAAACCACGTCATCCAGGCTGTGAAGTCATTAGAGTGTCCTTGAGCCCCTGGTGGACTTAGCTGGGCTCTTTGTTGGGGTGTGTCTATCCCCATCTTGACTTCACTTCTAGGGTTTGTCCTTTAAGGCAGTGGTCCTCAACACTGGGAACTTATTAAAAACACAAATTCTTGCTGGGTGTAGTGGTACACGCCTGTCATCTCAGCACTTGGGGGGCTAAGGTAGGAGGATCACTGAGAGTTCAAGGCCAGCCTGAACTGCACAGCAAGACCCTGACTTTAAAAAAAAAAACTTAATAAATAAATAAAATTAAAAATTCTCATCTCTTCCTCAGAACTACTGAATCAGAAATTCTGTTAATAAGCCCTTTCAGGGCGCCCGACACACACGGAAGTTGGAGAACTGCTACTCCAGGGCACGGCTTTTCCTGTCAGGTGGAGAAGCCAACCACTCTGGCTGGGCCCAAACTGTATTCGCCTCCCAGTGCTGTGCAGACCCTGGCTTCTCCACTCAGCTCTCAGCTCCTCAGCAGCCCAAGAGTTTCACTTTCCTCGTCATGGCAGCCCAGGACTAACAGGAAATCCCTGGGAGCCCTGTCTCTGTGTAGCCACTTCCTCTCCAGGCCCCTGCTCGGGTAACCTCAGCTTCTGTTGACCAGAGTGTTCCTCCTTAGCTCTACCTGGGCCCTGTCTCCCTGCACCAGGGCAGGAGAGGGTCCCTGAGCCAGGACTCCAGATCAGTGAGGAACTCACTCCATGCAATTCCGTTTCCTCACAGATAATAACCCTCTGCTTCCTGTTGCCACAGACCTACAAACATTTGCCTCATACTTTGTTTAGCTGCATCATTGCTTTCAATGGAAGGGCAACTTTGGTACCAGCTTCTGCATCATGACCAAACCAGAAGGCCCATTCTAAAGTGTTTAATGTGTATCATATTCTTCTGTGTATGGTGAAATTTATGTGCTGCTGTTTGGTATGTAGAATTTTTCATCTAGGTAGATGCTATCTGTTTCTTGCTTGGTTAGCATAGCACTTGGTTTGTAAATCTCTGTTGCCATATAGAATAGCCTATCCTTTTTACCCACTGCATAGCACTTCATAGAATGTATCTTCCATGTTCTACTCATCTACTGTCCCAGAAATAGGCACCAAGATTGCCTCCAATTCTGTGCTCCTGAAAATAAAGCTATAGTGTTCTCATTCAGACACTGGCTGGAATGTTGGATCACAGGGAGAAGTAGATGGGCTCAGCCCGTTATCCATTCAGGCTCTTTCCCCAACACTTGGCATGATGCTGCTTCTAAACTTGGGCAGTTTAACAAGGAAGATGACACTCAGAATTGTTTCACTTTGTGCTTCTCTGGTTATGCTTACTAGACTTTTGAGTTTTGTCCCCTGTAAATTATCTATTCACATTTTTGATGATGTTTATTAGCTTTGATGTTATTTATTACTGATTAGCAAGAGATTTTGTATGTCCTGGTGTGGTGGATTACCTAATGGTAAACTTGTAATGCCGAGCTGAACTGACTAAGCGTGGTGCTAGGTGTGGAAATCCTACCTGAAGATTGTTGCCAACCGTATAAAAGGAGAACTGGAGGGGAAGATGGTGGTATTTCCGTAGAAGCTTGTCACACTGGATTTCCTGATATGAACTCAGCTGTTCTCATAATCAGAGGAGCTTGGGACCTCACTGTTGCTGAGGATGACTGTGGTTCTTTTCAGGGAAGCTCTGGTCTTTACCTTGAGCGCCGCTTCCTGGCTCCAGTGCAGATCCCGCAGCCTGCTAGCACACACTCTTCAGCCACTGGGGCAGACTTTCTAGCTTCCACCACTGGGCTTTGGGCCTTCCCAGTGCAGATCCTTGATACAGACTTGCATGGGACATTGTCATGGGCTCTAGGCCTCCGGGAGGACAACGCTATGGGATCCAGGCCCTTAGCTGGATTCTTTGGGTGTCTAGTGTGTGGACAGATCTCCTACACTCTTGCATTTGACATTTTGGGAGAATTATAAAATAATCCTATAAATTATGTGTCTTGTATTGAATCTATTCCCTTGCAAACTCCGACTACAGCACCTGGATTTTAGCATTTTCATGCTTTAGTCATTGCACATGACTTCTATCTTTGCAGCGTCTCTATATTAGCTTGTTTACGTTATGCTTTGTTGAGTAGAACCTCTTCATTTGATTAATAAAATGAA